GCAAGCTTTTGGTGAACATCCTTGAGCATGCCATTGTTGGGATGTTTGTTTCTAAGGGAGGTTCACTCAAGCAGATGAAGTGAGCTGTGTCCGCACTCTTTGCTAGATGCTATACTCATTTCAGCATGTCCTAAGTGCGGTCTTTTCTTTCCTCTTACAACCCCTCAGAGAAGACGACCGGGCGAGAACCGTGCTCGAAACATCTCGACCTGATCCACCGTCCTCCGCTTGAGAAGACCTCGACGCTCGAAGTGCCGCGAGGCTCTTTGCAGTTCGTCCTCGAACGGTGCGGGGTCTTGGGGAACGACATAGGCAAATCGCCCAAAGATCTCAACGGATCCTGCGAGCTTCGATCTGGAAATGGAGGGCCATTAGGTGAATTTGAACTGGTGCCGCAAGACAGATGCTCGCTCCTTTAGACTCATGCATACATTTATGGCAAATGTATGGTGTTCAAATTTGACCCCAGCTTGTACTTTAGCCTTCAAATTCGTGGTGAAGCACAAGTTTTGGATGATCATTAAAATTTGAGATTGCTTCGACTCCAACCTGGTGATTCCGATCGAGGGAGGACTGTAGGAGATGACGGAATGGAGGGAATATGAGGGGCTGAACCCCAAACTCTTGATGTTGTGTTGTATGGTCTGTATCAATCTACTGTGATTGTTTGTCCTTTTTTTGTTGACAATTAAGCAATACCCTGATTGAGCCATGTGAAGTTTGGGCTCTAATACTCTAATACCAACGACGTCCTAGCTGGAGCTGATGAGGTGATTTCGATCGTCCTATGGTTCAGAGAAAGGACCTCTACTTGCAGCCAGCGCCCCAAAACCCCTCGGCCACACGGGCACGTTTGAACCTTGCCGCAGCCGGAAACGAGGTCGGCCACCTGGTCTACTCCGCCTTTGGACAGGAGGGACTTCACTCCAAGGCAGCTTACTTTGGGCTTGCGAGTTTTCATTTTTGTTGTTCTTTAAGAGGATGTTGAAATAGGTTGAAGAAGAAAACCCGAAGACGATCCATGAATCCATGAACGTAACATAATATAACTAGTTTGAACCTAAGGGTGTCGAGAAGGGATGGCCGATGCATGCCGTAGGTATTTGTAGAGTTTGTTTCGGAGCGAGGTTCACTCAAGCAGATGAAGTGAGCTGTCTCCACACTGTTTGCTAGATGCTACTCATTCAGGTTCCTGAACCCATGGTCATCCCAGCATGGCTAAGTGCGACAAAGCCTCTTTGAGCCTCGCCGTTGGGCCTCAGGGACCATCGGGCGAGCACCGATGAGCGCCGTGCTCGAAACGTCTCGCTCTGAGCCACCGCGAGGCCTGAGCAGACTAGTTCCGCGAACCTCGGACGGCGCGAGCCTCGGACGGGGCGAGCCTTGGGAACAAAATGCATGGATCACGACGGATCCTCTGAGATTTTATGTGGACATGGATGGACATGGGTTTAGTGTTTTAGATGAACTTGAGAACTAGTACGCAAGACTACAGGTGTAATATATGTGCTGGTTCCTAAATCACCCCCCAGAGGCCCTTTATCCTTGGTACAAGTCGTTTATGGTGAGAATCCTTCAGCAGAAGTTGGTTTTGGGATGGTTTGGCGATTTGAGATTTGTTTCGGTTCCAACTAGCTTCTTTTGGTTATCCACAAAAAAAACAACCACAAAATACCGCAAATATATAACCACAATATACGAATTGACCGGCCAATAGAGCACCGCGAAAAGTCGATTCCCTCTGTGTCTTCTTTGTCCCAAATATTCCTGCTCTGCAACCGTACCTCCCTTCCCCACCAAATCGCCATACATGTCCAGGCGTCAAACAAGCCACATATATAATACCGTCCCTTTTTCTGCAAAATCATTCATGGACCATGAATGTCCCAATGTAAATTATTTAGTCATGCAACGTTTGGGAGCGACCATGCAAAACCTGACTGGGTGATTTTGACCGTCCTTTCACTTGCAGCTAGCACCACACAACCCTTGGCCACACTGGCAAGTCAAGACCTGATGCAGCGGGAAACGAGGTCGGCCGCCTCATCTAGACTGCCTTTGGACAGGAGGGGCTTCACTCCAAGGCAGCTTACTTTGGGCTTGCGAGTTTCCTTTGTTGTTCTTTAAGAGGATGTTAAAATTTGTTGAAGTATATGATGACGATCGAAAGCTGTATGGTTGAACCTGAGGGTGTCGTGTCGGAACTGACCGGGTCTACTTTGTTTTCATTCGCACACCGAAAGAATCGAAGAGACGCGCTCTCGACCGGTTCGATGTCCAAAGGTTGATTCTTTTGTTCGGGCCATGAACCGTTAATTGGGCACTCAGACCTGAAGCACTTGGTCAAACAGGTGTTCCTCTTCGCAAAGATCTGGTGTGTGTTGGGTTTGTCAGAGTATTAATGCGTTGAGAACCCGACAGATAGTGAACGTAGAGCACAAGGAATCGACCGGTGATGAGTGAATTTTGAACCAATTGAAACTTTCAAACCGGAAACGCCCTTGCAGGTCTGGCAGGTCTTGGTTCGGGTCCAACTCTACGCCATCAGGGGGGATGGGGTGTTTGCGTGTTTAAGACGACTAGTGAATAGTCGACTCAGCAGTTTAACGATTCGTTGTTGGAGGCACTGACTGAAACTCCTCAAGCTGGAGCAGTGCTGCTTGGTACCCAGGAAGTGGAGGAAGTAGAGCCACGGATGAGTTTCATTCCGCTTTCCGTCGTTCACAGGCATTGGGAGTCTTTTTGTTCATGCGACATCCAAGGGTTAACGGATGTTAGCTGCTTGCTTTTTGGCATTTTGACTCAAGGCACGGAAGTAGTGAAGAGGCCTTTTTGTTGAAACTGGGCAGGTCACACGTTTCATGTGGTACTTCGGAAGTCTTTTCATGCCACCAACCGTAGCATTTCCTGTTTGAACACATGTTTTGGGGAGGTTTTCTTGAGGTGGACTGACATTATCATAGGCTGAAACATGGGGCTGTTCTTGGTATATGCTTTTTTAAAAGATAAACTTTTTCCAGTGTAGAAGAGTTCCATCGATTCACCCGCCATTCAGTTCAGGGTTTGAGACGAGCCTGAGGGGCCAAACTGTTGTCAGATTTGGTTGCAATTGCCTATATCATTAGATCCAAATATAAATGACAAAGGGAGCGTCAAAGGATGGTCCTAGATGGTCTTAGGATGTCTTAGGACATGCTTTGGGTCCTTCAGAAGGGCTGAGGAATTCTGTAGAAGGGTGCGTAGGCGTGTGGAACCACCTTGTGCCATGATGTGAACACCTACTAAGTAACCAAGGGCGAGACTCAGCCACTCAGCCCCCGTACGACGTGAGGCGCCACGTGGAAGCGCCTCATGCTGCGACCGGTTCCTTGGACGTCGGCGTCGCAGCACGGCGGGCGACGCCGGGACGCGGGACGCGGAGTGGGATAAGATGAGGCATTTCATGTTGTAAACCTGAAGAGGCCCGTAAGAGGAGCTTCGATCCCAGTACATGGTAATGTGAACCTAGGTATCAGCAGGGAGGTCCGGATGGGCCATGTGGAGTCTTGAAAGGCACAACCTGTGGATCTTCAGACCATGCAAGGAGCCTTTATGGTGCCATACTGTGTTTCAGTAGTCGACTGACCTTCCATGGACTCGTTTTGAGCAAAACGGGAACCACTTTTCAGAAGGGCAGGGCGAATCTTCCAACTTTGGCTGCGTACTGTATAGTATAACCATGGTCACCCCCGGGGATGGCCGGGATGGTAAGAGTTTTGGACGTATCTATTGGGCCAAGAATCGTGAAGCATCCACGAAAAGTCAATGCTTTTGTATGCTTTTGGTTGCTTGGTGATTTGTAGATCTTCAGTGTTAGTATCTACCTCAGCTTTGAGGCGTGGATTGCATCGAAGATAGGGAGGACCAAAGAGACTAGAAGAAGAGCTTCAATCCAGGTGAATCCAGGGTTCAGTCAATTCAACCTTTCCAAAGCTTATTTGCCTAAAGGTAAACATGTTTGTTCAAGCCAGCTTCTGAAGGACGCCTCCACACAGGTATTGTCGAAGGCTGATCTGGTTTTGGAACCTTTGATTCGTCCTTGAATCGAAGATGTAAGCTTCTGTATTCTGTTATGAGAGTCTTTGGGGTGGACCTTGGGAGTCTGAGCCCAGAAAGGCAACGAGAAGCCACAAACAGAATGGTGACCAAGAAAATTCCAGACCTATGTACGTACAAGTATATTTTTTCAAACACCAGACTCCTCGTCAATTCAGTTGTTCTATAGGGGACACACATGAAAAGCTCAAAGCCCCCTTATGGCCGTATGCTATCGAACTCGCCCAGAACGTGATCCGGATCTTCACTGTCTCATTAGCTGAGCCGAGCAGAGCTGAGGTGAGCTGATCGAGCTCATGGCACTGGCTGGGCCGGGGGTGCCCATGTTGGAAGGTCGTTCAGGTTTGAGGGTGAATCCAGAACCTGTTTTGGCCCGATCTTTCACAGGAGACCAGATGTGTTTGGTCATTTTAGATCATATCAAGCTGTGCATTAAACAGCTACACATTTAGCTAACGTACAAGGTGGTGAAGCTGGCTCCTGTGAGTGCAGTTTGAGTAGTTTGCCAGCCACTTGCTAAAACGATAGGACACTGTTTGTTGAGACGAGTCGAGTGTTTTGGGGTTTGTTAATCTAATTTATTGAACTATAAGGCTACAGTTTTGAAAGGCGCGCTGCTCCAAAAAGCATCCCGAAGCGATGCATCACAATGCAACATTTAAAGACACAAAAGACACATGGCATAAGCGTGGATAAGCCTAGACCCTTTCCTGCTGCCTTTTGGCGTGCATGCTAGACCTCTTCCCCCATCCGTCTCCAACTGTCCCGGTTTTGTCATCGATGGGTCGATGGGTCCAAGCTTCACCGACCCGAGGTGTTTCGCTCGATGGCCATGTCGGTGGAGGTTGCGCTTGGCAGGCTGACATTGGAATGTGTTGACAGAGAAAAAACGATTAGAGCAAGTGGCTTTAAAAAGAATGACTCTGATGCAAAATTTGAAAGCTTTTTCATGGGTCACGAGGACATTGCATCAACCTTCAGACCACAGTCACTCCCATTGTCCACACTGTTTGACCAATCCTTCCTGTTTGGTTCAAAGAAGCGTCTTCCGCCTGGTGCGTGCTGCCATAGAGTTCCTCTACCACGGTGCAAGATCTTCTCATGGCACCGCCTCGTCAAAGTCCGATTGCTGGGCAGCCGACTAAGGTGACTTGTTCTTTTTTGCTTGGTGGGGCAACGGTTTGACGCCTTGTGGATTTTGAGGAATGGAATTGGGCGGTTCGGTTTGCCCAGAATTGGGGCGCTACATACCGAGCATCGCATCTTTTCTTTGTTTAACGTTTCAAGGAAGTTCCGTATAAATCGGTGTCAAAACGGTTTTGCCTTTGCCGCTGGTGTCCGCCCGGGTGCCGCCCACCTCTTCTGCCGCCTCCCTTTTGTATTGGAAAATCCGTCTCCGAGGACGAACGGGAACGATTTTGGCGGCAATGGCGTGAACTGAAAGACCGGTACGGGCTCTGCTGGATCGCTGCGGAAGGGCGTTTGTCGTCGACCGCGTTGGAGCGGCCCCGAAGAGGCGAAGTCGTGGAGCCGTGGATCGGTGCCATCATCCGGCTCTCCAAGGCGGTGCTGAGAGCGGACCTGGAGAAGATGGACGACATGCTGAATTTCGATTCCAAGTTCAATTTCTTGAATTCTTGTGGTCAAGCCTTCCTGGAGACTTTGAAGGGAGAGCTTCTTCCGCAGCGGTTGACCGCCCTGGCATCCTTGAGGCAAACCGGAATCCCCGAGGCCGTGGAAGTCCTTGGCCTGTTGCTCCGGGAACTTTGGGCTCGCGTCACAGGTGGCAACTCCAAGCTCTGTGACCAAGAGGCAACAAAGTTGCAGCGATTGCTGGATTTGATGTGGAAGGCCATCGCAGACTGGGAGCGAGTGAAGAATCCAAACCAGATCGAGTGGTGTGGCCACTTCTGTGGACCCATTTGGGCCCTCCGGCAGAGTCGTGGCGAGGGTCCTCCGGATCCTGTGGACTACGACATGGCCATGGAGGATTTGAGGCTTCTAAGAAACAAAGCCCAATGCATTCTGACCACAAGGGAGCTCACAGTAGATCAAGAGGGAATGAGACAAAACTTGAATGGGTTGAAGGGCTCGACGTTAAGCTTGAAGGAAGAAGTGAAGGAATTGCAACAGGACAAGTTGCAGATGAAGAAGGAGTTGGAGAGGCTGATGTCGGAGAAAGTGACGGAGATGGATGACAAACTGAAGAAGATGGAGCACGAATATTCAGCCGCGAGGGAGCTGCATGAGAAGCTGCAGAGTGAACTCCTGAGGGTGAAGGATGAGTCCCATCAGTTGCAGAATGAACAGCTAAAGATGAATGAGGAGTTGCAGCAGGTGAAGTCGGAGAATGAGAAGTTGACATGCCAGGTGAAGGAGATGGAGGAGAACATGAAGGAGATGAAGCATGTGCAGCATGAGTCTTCGGCCTGGAAGGAGCTGCATGAGAAGCTGGAGAATGAGCTTTTCAGGTTGAAGGATGAGCTGATGGAGTTGCAGAATGAGAAGATGAAGACGAATGAGGAGCTGCAGGAGGTCAAGGTGGAAAATGAGAACATCAAGTGCCAAGTAGCCCACGTTGAGGCGACTCAAAGAGTGCAGGTCGAGGTGCATCTCAAGTCATTGGAGTCAGAATTACTGAACATGAAGGGTGAGTTGCAGGAGTTTAGAAAGAAGACCGAAGCATCAAGCATGAAGGCTGATTCCGAGAAGCTGGAGTTGCAGAGAGAGTTGCTGAACATAAAGAAGGATTTGATGAGCATGAAGTATGATCACTTGACCTCCAATGACAACTTGAAGATGAAGAAAGAGTTGGCTGAGTTGATGCTGCACCAACTGTTGCATGTGTCCAGTTGTGCAAAGACCGAGTTCAGCGACGTCTGCTCAGAGGCGTCTTGGGTCAAAATCGACGAAGAGACCAGCATATTGCTCAGTGCAAGTTCCGGCTTTTCTGTGGACACAAGTGGTCCCCACTGCTTTACGCTTGACACCATGTTCAAGACGCCTACTGGCTCCTTCCTGAGCGCTCTGCAGTTGCGCCTAAGCTCGAATGCTTTGAACCGTTGATACTGCAGTCATCTCGACACCCCAGCCCCCAGCACTTGCAAGCACTTTGCCTGTTGTAGGCTCAACACTCTATGGAACCCGCATCTAAGAAGGCCTTGGACTTGCAACCCCTTGGTAGGCCCAACCCACAATGATGACACGCACCTTTTGAATCCAACTTAGTCACTATAGTCTGATCTGGTGACCCGATTGAAGAAAGGAAACGCCGAATGCCTCAGGCTGAAAGACACTCAGATCCTGGCAGCCGATGGGTCCACCGTTTTGGTGGTTGCTTCACCTCCAGAACAGCACGCTGCCCGAGGGATGGTGGTCCTCGAGGCAAACGAAGCTAAACTGAAAGTGACTACGGACCACCGTGTTGTGCTGGCCTCTGGTCACCTTGCACCTCTTCTGAAATCATCTGGAGCTTGTAGAATCTGTACAGTCGGTAGAGCAACTACTGTAACCAGGTGAACGTGACCTGTCTATATATCTATTTATCCTTGTAACATTTTCAGACTACGAATCGATTGCCTCGATCTCTTTGCAGGTATCCGCTGCGCAGCTGAAAGTGGGAGATGAGGTTGTGGTTGACGGTGTTCCCACGAAGCTGACTTCGGTGGACTTCATCCTAGGCGAAGTGCGGGTTTTGAAGATCACCTTCCAGCCGGACGAGCCAGTGGCGGTGTTTCATCAGCCAGACCTCCCAGTGGCAGTGTCGCAGCCATCTACCCATAGCCATGGCCATAAGCCCAAGAAGATTCGCCGTGGTGGGAAGCATTATCACACGGTCAAGGAAGCAGCAGATGCCTGGAGTATCCCTGACACCCAGGGCTATTATTCTGATTGCAACTTGACTGCCATTCCGATGTTTGTCACACACGTCTTGACTGCGTCAGAACAACTTCAAACAGTTGCAGTGATGGGTTGTTGAACAAGGGCTTGTAATTAATGACAGCAGTGGGCGGTAGAACTCAGTGATCAGTGATTGTGGGGTTGTGCATCTGTCAGCCAGCATGCAATCAAGGAAAGGAGCCGCAGAAGATTGGATGAATTGGAGCTCGAGTTGACGACGCTGAGCGCACTCCTCACCATGCAAATTAACGCAGATGCAATTGCGGTCATTGGCAATCATCAGCAATTATATTGGGCGCAACGTCCATCTGGCACACAGAATGTTAGATTCTCCTCAAACAGGTATGGGCACCCGTGAACCTTGTACTGTGGATTTGTGCGAAGACTTCTACGTGCGAACACGTGCCCTTTCCAAATCCTACTTAGTAAGGTATTTGACCTTCAGGCACTAAACAGGGTCAATGTTTGGAAAGGAATTTGAGACCACCCCCAATCTATTTGTATGGGGGAATGAAGGCTTCTATGAGGTTGAGGAGTGCAAATGTGCACAGGCACCGCCAAAGAGCCATGCCTGTTGGCTAGCAGCTAACGTACGTTCAGTTTTGACCGCCGGTGTTCTTAGCACGCACCTTAACATCAGCATTTCCTTGCGAGCATCCTGAGACTGATGGAACGAGAGGGCCAATTAGTGAAGTCTTTTGCTACTAGTAGCCTAGTAGCCTAGTAGCTACTAGTAGCTACTGTTTATCTTCAATTTCAATGGGGAGACAAGGGAATCCAGTGCACGGTTAACACCTTGAACAGATTGGAAGGCACTTAAAGGGACCTACTGTAGGGGTTCAAAGGGTTCTGAGCTGAAGTTCGGGTTGTGGTGCTGCCATCGGCTTTGGGAGCTCCGTTTGGAAGAGGAAGCATTTGAGCTCCACCTGAGCCTTGAGTCAGGAACAGCAGCAGGGGTTGGCCTGTTGGGATCGTTTCTCAATTGTTTTTAAACTAGGGTTTAACATGTCTATTTCCACGACTTTGCTTTGACTTTTTTGTCGGACAAGTGTATTCTTGTAAATAAGACTGTTGAGGACAATGTGACGTCTAGCTCAGGTGGACTGTTTTGGCCGCGAAAGGGTGGCAACCGGTTTATTGCATGTAATCTGAACCTGATGTGCATTTTGTGAGCAGCCCTCACGCAATACCGGCTCACAAGGAGGAACGTTTGAAGCCTTGGAGTTGGTGGGGCCCTTCGTGAAATACCGTGATACATTAAATTGAGCTTGAACGATTTGTTTTTCTTGGTCACTGGGTCCTTTTCATTTCTTTCCTTTGGCTCTCTCTCGTTGTAGTATGTCACAGTCATGGTGACGCCTTCAGTGCTCTGCCTGACCACATTCTTCCCGCCTTGTCGTGTGGACAAAAAAGAAAGAAGCAAGCATGATGGTGACAGGTTCTGCCTTCGCTTCTTGCAGTTCTGGTCTTAGACTGTTTCATTATGTTTGAGACACAGTTACCCTGGAGCTTGCCATGGATCGAAAAACAGTTTATTTTCTGAAAAAATATGAATCTGATGAATTCCTGAAATATGAAATGAAAAAACCAACTTTCGGAGAATACAAGAAAAATATGAAAAACATATGTTTTTTTTATATTATTTTCATATTTTTCTCTATTGTCATATTATTTTCATATGTTTTTCATATTATTTTCATATTTTTTTCATAAACATATAAACAACCATATTTTTTCTACATTGTCAATTTCATAGTTTTTCATATTTTTTTCATAAAAAAACTAAATCCAAGAATCCCTATCCTCCAGGGATACATATGTCTCAACATTATGTTTGATTCGTGGCTAGGTTTTCACCTGCAGAGCCTTTGTGAATGTATTTTCGACCTGGTCGATGCATGTCGCCCCCTTTTGCCTCGTTAACAGACTGGGCCATCGGGCCATCCCCCAAACCGTTCACTCCGTCCATCGGGTCCGTTCACTCCGATCACTTCGTCCACTTCGCCAGGCCACCGGTGACACGACGTGACCAGCGATGCCGAGTTCACATGGGTCTGATGGAAAGGTGCGAACCGGACAGGGAGCGATCGGCAATGCTGCGAATGGCGGCGGTATAGCCCGAGGCATTTCACGATGTGTTTTTTTGAAAAGAATGATCATGAGATGATGCTTGTTGTCTTGCAAGCATCTGATAGAGCGATAGGTTTCACAGCATGGGCCAGAATAGCGTGCTCCACCCGGTCTGTAGCCAAATGTTGTCGGTCTCACAAGAACAAGAACTGAACACACCATATAACGACGCAATTTTAAGAATACATTCATTTGGAGCTCCATTTGTTGACAATCCATGGATACAGAGATTTGCCCTCCTAGGACCCAGCATCCTTCTGCCAACAGATCCACAATTAGTCTAGCAATTGGAGTTCATGGCGGATATATGCCATGCCATGGGGTGATTCTGCTCCATTCCAACGTCAGAGTGACCTCCGAGCCGAACGCGTCGCCGAGCCCGAGCCCGAGCTGGTCCGGTCGGTCAGCGAGGCGAGGCGCGCACTGCTGGGAGCCTGCTGGGCTGAATGCTTGGTGCCCGGGATGATCATGGATGATCTGAAGGAACAGGCAGAGCAGCCACGACTGTTTGGTTTGTTAGCTCATGTTTTTGGAGCTTGGGTTGGGAGCTAAAATTGCTCTCAACTTGTAATGAAGCACGTTTGTTTTTGGATCTTTTAGCTTCTTAAAGAGCTTCTCTTTTGGAGAAGGGCGGACAGCTATATTATGTTCTACGGGGTCTCGAGCATTCCGAAGAAGCGACACCAATCAATCGCAAAATCCTTCATGCGGGTAGGACTCTTCAGAATTGTTTGTCGCGGTATTAGACCAGTCACTGTATAGTCCTACAGTCCAAATCAGCTTTGAAGCCAGGAGTGTAGAGGAGTTGTCGGAGTCATTTTGGGCCTTAAGTACATTCTTAATTCTTTTGGAGTTTGTCAATGCTGTACATAGCGTTACCGCACACACCGAGCCAGCCATGAGGCAGGTTTTTGTTTGGGTGGATCCCACTAATAAGTCAAATGGCTCGCGTGGTACTTCTGTGGAACACATCCTGCGGCAACGGTAGCAACTTCGCCTTGGAATGAGCTTCGTGAGGTGAGGGAGTATCAAATCTCCTCATATGCGGGGCAAAAGACATCAAAAGACATGGAAAGACCAGTTATTTTTTTTGAAACATGTCTATGGATCGATGACAGTCCCTGATGTGTAGAAGGGGATGGTGAGAACCAGTTTTGTTGATCAACACATATCAACAAAATCACAAAGTCTTTTTCTTTTAAAGTGCCTCAACGTATCGAACCGCAAGGAATCAAGGTTTCAAGGCCGGGGTATCTTGCGTTTTTCTTCATCCGGGTCGGGGTGGTGCAAATCCGCTTCATTTGAGGCGCTATAGGTGGATCTCTTTCGAAGATGGGCCCGAGACCCGGGGAGATGCGGGGTTTCGCTAGGTGGAGGTGAGCCGTGGCAGTTCTCACCTGTGCAGTGCTGTTTTGGAGATTCTGAACAGAGTCCATGTAATTATTACATACATGCTTAAGTTGAATCGCATAGCCATATAGGAACGCTTTCAGTGCACCCTTGAAGGGACACCAGGATTTGTCGATTTTGTTTACAAAACGAGCGTGAACAGTACATGGAACCCGGGTCGAGATGCTTAGAGAACCGCGCGGGGCTTTTCTTGGGAGATGCGAGTTGAGCATTGGACCTGAGAGCAAGACACCGGCTGTTGTTGACCCCAGCTCTCATGGAGCCTCGATCGTTTCAAAGTGCTTTGAGCTGAGGCGTTAGCTGAGCCAAGGCTGCACAGCTGAGTTTGCCTGAGCCTCGAGTTGGTAATTTGCTGAACTGATGGTGAACTTGCATCACGCCTTGACCACTTGTTGTCCAAACACTGTCAAAGTCATTTGTTTGGGGACCTTGGGAGAGTCTGAGATGGTCGTCCTTCGTTTACAGGGCTGATGCCGTTGTTTGCTGTTGGGACAACTTTACAACTTTTCAAGCACACCTTTTTTAACAAGGTCGGATAGATCAAGGACTGTCTGTTGGGTCTGCAGCTGGCTTCACTTCGTCACCCACTTCTATAGGACTCCATAGGGCACCCTGACCTATACAATCCCACTGGTGCTATCCAGCTTCTGCTTTCATCCAGAAGAGCGCATCGTTGAACCTAAACTCGAGCCATCAGATGTGGTGGTATAGTGGGCGGCCATTTCCGTTTCAACCTCGATTTGCTGGAACCAAGTCCAACATGACATGAATCTTCAACACACTGTATACGTGCCGTTTGACCCTGTGCCTCTTGTTCTCATAGGACCTTCCAGAAGAGCAACCAGCTTGACAGGACCCAAGAGAGGACCACGCTCCCCTACAACCTAGACTGAAATAGTGCCAAAAGATACTTCAATTCGCGATCCGATCGTAAGACATGTATTGATCCCATCCCAACCCCATGGTGGCATGTGTTTTTCTCCAGGTCCCAGGATTCCACTCGCCGATCTGTCTGAGGCCCACCAGTCGCTTCGATGGACCTTCTGGCGGCCGTCTTGGAGGCTCCCACGGTCTGAGGACCTCGGCTTTGTGACTTGAAACGAACGAACTGAAGGGAATGACAAATACTACCGGATTCCTAGCGTACCAAATTTAATAAGTTCTTCACATGACAGCAGGCTGGAGACTTTCGGAATGACCATGCCACTGTTGCCCGGCGCCAGCCTTCCAAGGTTTGTCTCACTTTTAGGCCAGGTCGTCGTTTTTCGGTTCGAAAAGCTTGCGCCTTCGTCTGTTTGGCAGCCATAAAGAGCTCCTCGATCCAGAACGGTGCAAGATCACCCATCTGGGCCACCAGAATCTTCTCATGGTACGGTCTCGTCGAAGTCGGATTCCTCACGTGACTTGGTGTTGACCTGGCTGCACTGTTGGAAGGTGAACAGTTTGAGGCATTAAGCGGGTTGTGAGGAATGGAACTGATCATTGGGTGGTTTTAATTTGCCCAAATGGGGTGCGACACACCAAACAATTCCTTTGTTTAAGGGTGTTTAAGGAAGTTCCGTAAATCGATGTCAAAACGGTTTTGCTTTTGCCGCTGTGTCCGCCCGGGTGCCGCCCACCTTTTCTGCCGCCCTCCCCTTTTTTGTGGAAAATCCGTCTCCGAGGACGAACGGGAACGATTTCATCGGCAATGGCGTGAACTGAGCGACCGGTACGGGCTCCGCTGGATCGATGCGGAAGGGCGTTGTTCGTGGACCGCGTTGGATGGGCCCCGGAGAGTCGAAGACGTGGAGC